TTGCGGTTTTTAACAAGAAGTCGAAAATATCACTTTTCACCAAAAAATGACAAAAATATTCACCAAAATTAGAGAATTAAAGATATCACTACAAAATGAACAAATCTGAGAGAGGTCCACATGTAGTACCTATATATGTAATATCAAAGCATTTGCACTTGCGGTTTTTAACAAGAAGTCGAAAATATCAGTTTTTACCAAAAATGACAAAAATATTCACCAAAATTAGAGAATTGAAGATATCATCACGAAATGAACAAATCTGAGAGAGGTCCACATGTAGTACCTATATATGTAGTATCAAAGCAATTGGACTTGCGGTTTTTAACAAGAAGTCGAAAATATCAGTTTTTACCAAAAATGACAAAAATATTCACCAAAATTAAAGAATTAAAGATATCATTACAAAATTAACAAATCTGAGAGAGGTCCACATATAGTACCTATAGATGTAATATCAAAGCAATTGCACTTGCGGTTTTTAACAAGAAGTCGAAAATATCAGTTTTTACCAAAAATGACAAAAATATTCACCAAAATTAGAGAATTAAAGATATCAACATGAAATGAACAAACCTAAGAGAGGTCTACCCAAGGTACATATACACCAAGTATCAAAGCATTTAGGCTTGTAGTTTTCAAGAAGAAGTCGGAAAAGTAAAACATTGACACGGACGACGACAACGGACAATCACTCATATGATAAGCTCCGCTCGACAAAGTCAACAGCGGAGCTAATAAAGACAACCCTGTGTATATATGAAGACCACCTGCCAGACCTCTGACAGGCCATCCCGAGGCATAATATTCGACCAAGCTGTTTTATGTGACCATACTTCTAGCATTATTTTTGAAGAGTGTGCTTTGTTTAGAAAGCAAAATAATAATCATCATGTTCTTAAAACTAATTTTAATTTTCTTCGAGTCAAACTTATTTGATTTTAATCAACTCAAATGCATGTTCACTTTTTTCTTTACAAATATGTCAAATGTACTAGTTGGTATTTTTGTGACTGTCTATATTAGTGACAAATGGTATGAATTGATATAACATACATGGGAATGTTAAAAATACGGCTACTGAAACGCAATCTATAAAACAACAAGACAGCCAGTCAGCAGATTATGAATCAAATCAGGAAACACATTCCATGCTACCGGATCCATGATGTTCATTGTATAGACCAAGTTTGAATCCAATAACTCAATGATTAACTGAAATCAGTCTATTTCTACAATATATGACCTGATGTGTGAAGTTTAAATTGTATTGTTCCAAGCATGTATGAGTTAGGGCTCAGTGGAGCTGCATTCTTTAAACAAGATTTGTTAATCAAAATAAAATGAAGTGTATGTACTAAGGTACGTACCAATGTTTAAAACAAATCTGTTCACATACGACTTAAATCCGGTTTCAGAATGGTGAAAATGTGTGAATTTATTTGGCCTTGAAATGGCAACCTTTCAGCCATCTTGAATAGGATCCTGAAACAAATGATTGTGTACACATGTCCGATATGATGTATGTGTGAAGTCCAAACTTGATAGACCCAGTTCTGTGCAAGATATGAATGTACTGACGCACTCATTGAGGTCAATCCATAGGTCTGTTTTTCGGAACATGACCACTTGTCCTTGTCATTGGCCCATAGGAGTTACACATGTATGCTGATAGGGCTGCAGAAAAACTACCTAAAACTTATAAAATACATTAAACTCCCTACGAGGATAATTAAAAATTGAGCCCTAGGTCAGAAAATTAAGCACCCCGAGGTAGAGCCCCCCACCCAATTTCTAGTTACAACACTGAGGAACCTTGCAGCAGATTGTAGTGATGGGAGGCAGGCAAGGTTGGTAAAGTATGACTTTGCTATATTTAAATTTTCACATTATCCTCAGAGAAGACAGTGTATTTTACTTCCTTCAATCATACTTGCCTCATCTTATAGACTAGTGGCAGAGAACAAAAGATACTGCTAAAACATTCCGCCAGTACGGAAGAGGGCACAACTTAAGATGAAACTCAACACGTTTATACAAGACCTGTTGAACTGAATCAAAAGTCTCTCCCTGGGACGAGTGTACAAGATGTAGAAAACAGATTCCTTATACTAACACCGAGCGACTTTAAAGCAGTTTTATCATTAAAATATTGACATTCAGTCATCTTGTATCTGATTATCCAATGTATATTTGTTCATATTGAAAGATATTGCCCAGCATTCATTAAAACAAAATGGACACCGGTCAACCATTTTGAATACATCTGTATATCTATGACATGATGCATAATAAATATATAATTGGAACATAGTCAAAGCATGCAAGACATATGGCACTAGAACCGCATTCATTTTAAAAACAAACTGACGTACATCAAGGTCCCACAGTGTCATTTGTATGTACCAAGTTTAAACAAAATCCATCTGCAAACAACCGCGATCAAGTTCCGGAATGCCAGAAATGCTCGAGGTTGATGATTTTTTTCAGCATAAAAATGGCCACCATCTTGTGGAACAAATTGATGTACATATGAGCAAAGGTCCTATGAGCTAACACAACTGTGGAAAAAAAATTTGGTTTACAATACTGTCTACATCTTTCTGAAGTGGACACCTCCCCTGCCAACACACAGATCTTTCCATTCAGGTGCAAGCACGTTCTTGTCATCAGCATGCGACATCTCGACTTCAGAAAAAGTATTCTTCTGGACAACTTTCAGACAGCCTATTTTACGACTCCATTCACTTGCTTTTGAAAAAATTCAACTGGAGATAGGGGCACTTGTCCCCTCGGTGACCAATTATACTGGCACGTGGGGATCTAAAACTATCAACACAGAGACCAGTAGTCTACCTAATGCTAAACATTGGATTTTCGTAAGGTTAGTATGACTAAATGTAGAAAAATTTGCAACAAGTTATGGCATCTTCGTTCTAGTAAACGTTAAAAGTTTTAACTACAGTCATTGTCATCTTAACACTATCAGTAATACCCAAGTTCTTATATAGGACTTACTTATAAAACAGGACAAACTTGCATCCTGGATTTCCAGAAACTTGTCAAACATTTCTCAGAGTTTTAACAGATTGCCCAATATAGTAAATGATGACAAGCATGTAATGTGAAAGTATGGTATATTTTTCACATAAAGATTTGCTACTGCCAATG